TTTTTTTTTTTTTTCTTCTGTCCTGTAGAGCCCTGTCCCTTTCCTGAAGGGCTCAGGCAAAGTTTGATTTCGTGAATTATCAGGATTTTATCTCAATGTATGGCTGAGAGTGTTGTACTTTACAGGCTCTTATGTCCTACACAATAGGAAATAATTACAACTGTAGGTGTAAAGAATACTTTGTAACAATTGAGAATGACAGACTATCTTTTCCCTCACAGAGGGAAGAAGAAATAAAATACTAAAATGAAATTACTGAACATTCACAGAATTGTGAAAATGACTGTGGTGGGGCCACCTTGTTTCTCATAAGTGGTCATCAGTGGTCTCTTAATGAGATGGAAGAGGCAGGAGATATGCCTATAATTAGTTCAAAATGCATATCTCCTATGGGTTGATTTTGTGCCTCTAAAATTAATGTATCTATGCCATAAACACTCATATGTGTTCATATGTGATCATATTTGGAGACAGAGTATTTACCAAGTAATCAAGTTAAAATACGTTCATTAGAGTAGGTCTTAATCCAAATGAGTCATAGCCACATAAAAAGGGAAAATAAGACATAGATACATACATATAAGAAAGAAAATGTGGGGAAGTATAGGGAGATTTCAGATATCTACAAGTCAAGGAAAGTGGCCAGTAATGGAGGCCCCTTATGCATTCACACCTTGCATAAGATCCAACTCAGATGAAACCTTGATTTGGACTTAGAGCCTCCACAAGTATGAGACAATAAATAAATGTGTTTAATTGGCCCAATCACTAGCATTTTGTACAGGAGCTCTAGAATACTTGAAAGTGTTGAAAGTGTTAGTCTCTCAGTCGTGTCTGACTCTTTGTGACTCCATGGACTGTAGCCTGCCTCGCTCTTCTGTCCATGCAATTTTCCAGGCAAGAACACTGGAGTGGGATTCCATTTCCTACTCCAGGGGATCTTCCGGACCCAGGGATTGAACCTGAGTCTCCTGCATTGCAAGTGGATTCTTTACTATTTGGCCATTTTCTAATACTTATATAATATTTAAATGATCTTAATTAGGTTTATAAAATGAACAATAAAGTAGATAAATAATCATAATTCTTACTCTACTGTTACCAGACCTGAACACCCCAGGAAGACCATTATTGGTTTAGTCAGGATAACCTCGCTGTAGGGTGGCTCAGTGACTGTGGCTACCAGTTTTGAGTCCTTCCTTGGCTGACATGGAGTCAATGTGAACTTTTTCGCTTCTCTGACTGAATGCCCTCGCCATCCCTATGATGTTAAGCTGAAAATAATGAAGGTTTTCCACTTCAAAAACAAGAGAATAGGGGCCGAAAAAGAATGACATTAGATCATCTGAATGAATTAGGGTAGAAACTTCTGATTCTAGGCAGTGTGAAATGAGTTTTTTTCCCTGAATTTTTTGTTGCACTTAACTTCTATGCTGTGTTGGGGTCCTCTTTATAAGTGAATCCATAAGCAATGGTAATGTTGAAAAGATTTCTGAATGGAGTATGCCTATCGAATCAACACCGTCATCTGTGAGTTGAGACTTGCAATTGTTAACTCAGTCGTGAAGCCATTTGCCTTATTTTGCCTTTACAGTGAACCACAACATTGCAAGGTGATTGCTCACTAGGCTCTCTTATTTCCTCAATCACCAACTGAAGTGAATAATTACTAGTGTTACTCCCCCTTCCAGTCTTCAACATCAAACTGCTTTTCCTTTCTCCATCCTAGATTTCCTGTGTATCAGAGACCTTTGAGGTCCCAGTTATCTCTTCAAAACCCAATTGTTTTGTATTTTTAGTGTTTTTTTTTATAACTAATGTGTTCATTTAATTTCTGAATTTACAAATGTGAAAGAAACACAGGTCATTAATATATCTAATGGATTCTTTCTTAAAATGACTTCCTACATAATATATGTATTACATTTAAGTCTTTAGTCCATTTTGAGTTTATTTTTGTATATGCTGTTAGAGGATGTTCTAATTTTACTTTATTGTATGTAGCTATCCAATTATCCCAGCCCCACTTATTGAATAGACTATCTTATCTCCACTGTATATCCTTTTCTTTTTTACTATAGATTAATTGACCATAAGCACATGGGTTCATTTCTGGGCTCTCTCTTCTGTTCCACATGTCTGTTTTTGTGCCAATACTATACTGATTGGATTAATGTAGTTTCCTAATATAGTTCAAAGTCAGGGAACCTGATTCCTCCAGTTCTGATCTTCTTCCTTAAGATGGTTTTGGCAATTCAGGGTCTTTCATCTTTCCATACAAAATTTAAAATTGTCTCTTCTAGTTTTGTGGAAAATGCCCTGGTATTTTCATAGCAGTTGCATTGAGTATGTGGATTGCCTTGGATAGCATGTTTATTTTAACAATATCAATTCTTCTAATCCATAATCAAGGTAAACCTTTCCCTCTGTTTGTATTATCTTCACTTTCTTTGATCAGGGTATTATTTTTTTAAGTACAGGTCTTTCACCACCTTAGGTACGTTTATTCCTAGGTGTTTTATTTCTCTTTTTTTATTTATTTTCTCTCATCCTGGAGGCTTTTCAGCAATAAGAGTGATCAGAGAAATAACCACTATAAATCATTAATAAATTCCAATATGTGTGGTACTTGGGGGACTTAAATAATGTTTGAGAAAACAATTTAAAATTTGCAAAATGTTAAATATTTTTAGTATGTAGGTGTAAGCATTCCTATTTCTGTTTGTGTTCTGTATTTGGAGAGTGGGATTCTGTCATTCTCTTCATACTGATCACTGGTTTTGATAAATTTTGGAGATAATAGCTGGTCAATTAATTCCTATGATTTTCAGGAGCACTCTGCTGAGGAAGCCAGGACATTCTGCTCCTGCTTCAATCAGGAGAAGGTTCTGTGTTGGAGTAAAATGTCCACCAAGTGACCTGAGTCACTCTGGTGCCTGAAAGAGTTTGAGTTATGAAGGTCAGTCATACTCTCTCAGGAAGCTCTAACTGATTATTTCATTTTTCAACTTAGGTGACTTTCACTGAGTTTGGCTGACTGGGGGTTAAACGTGGGGAAGGGGCACGGCAGGAGTTGGGAGGTAGGACATCCAGCGAGAAGTTACATGGGCTGCCATAGTAACAGGCTTGCCTTGGCATTTTATCCAATCAGATATAGACAGTGTCTGTGACGTCAGAGAAAGCAGGGCTTATAAACTCGGCCAACGGCCTTCAACCGCCTCACTGTTCTTCCGTCTGAGCTACGGGGAACGGTGGCTCTGCCATGGCTGAACCATCCTCTGACAACTCTGAAGAAGGCCTGCTCACTGAAGAACCCTGCAGCTCCCTAATGGAGATCTCAGAGTTCTCCAAACCAGAGCCCTGTGATGACGAGCCAAGAAAGGAAAAGAAGACAGCTAAGGGCTGCCGTCGCCGTCGCCGTCGCCGTCGGCACTCCTGCCGTATGAACAACTTTGCAAGCTTCGCCACCTATTTCCCTAGAGTGCTGAGGCAAGTACACACAGGACTGAGTCTTTCGCACGAAACTTTAAACATCATGGATTCATTTGTGAAGGATATGTTCGAGCGGATTGCCGAAGAGGCCGGGCGCCTGACCCGCTCCTGCAAGCGCTGTACCATCATGAGTGAGGACATCCAGACAGCTGTGCGTCTTCTGTTGCCTGGGGAGATCGGCAAGTATGCCATGTACGAGGCCACCAAGTCAGTCATCAGGTACAACAGCCGTAGATGAACTGCCTCACAACTATCTGACTATCGCAAACCAGACTTAAGGGTTCTCCCCTTAGGCCCTATATTGAATCTTCCAAACATTTCTACCCCCAAATGAAATATTAAAATCCTCATTAACTTTGCTTCAATATGTGTCGGTTGTGCCATTTGTTCAATGGAAAATCATGTACTTTTTTCTTAACATATTGCAACTCGTCACTTTCCTAAATGGTTATTCCTATTCATGGTTTCTCAGCGATTTTAGGGATCTTTATGGTCAAAATTCTTCCCCTAAAAGTTTCATTGGCCGTTTTCATTTTCATTCTCCCATCTAGATTTAGGTGTCATCCAGAGATTTTTATATGGGGTATAGCAACCGATAAAAAATGGTGTGGTCTTCCCGGCTGGCCCAGCAGTAAAGAATCCGCCTGCAGTGCAGGAGTCACAGGAGAGGCAGGTTCTATCCCTGGCTCAAAAAGATCCCTGGGAGGAGGGCATGGCAACCCTCTCCAGTATTCTTTCCTGGAGAATCCCATGGACAGAGGAGCCTGGTGGGCTACAGTCCATAGGGTCTGCAAAGAGTCGGGCACCACTAAAGCAAGGTAGCATGCATGCACACAAAGAGCAGTGTATGCATGTATGTGTGCTCAGTCACTCAGTCATGTCCGACTCTTTCTGATCCCATGGACAGGAGTCCGCCAGGCTCCTCTCTCCATGAAATGTTCCAAGCAAGAATACTGAACTGGGTTGCTCTTCCCTACTCCAGGGCTTCTTTCTGACCAAGGGATAGAAGCCCTATCTCTTTCATCTCCTGCACTGGCAGTCTGATTCTTTATCACTGTACCAGCAGTAGCAGATATAAAAATCACACTTACCCATTCTATTCCTTCAATCCCAATTCACTTCCATGTGTAAAATAGGACTCACAGTGTAAAATTCTTATTTTCTTAAATTCTAAAGTTCTGAAATAAAGCACCATATCTTCTGAAATTACCTTATCCAGATATCTCTGATCCTGTTTTTTGTTTGCAACGTAGAACATTTTGTTTTGTTTTTTTTTTTTCACCAGCCCAGGTTGGGTGCATGAGACAAGTGCTCAGGCCTGGTGCACTGGGAAGACCCAGAGGGATCGGGTGGAGAGCGAGGTGGGAGGGGGGACCGGAGATGGGGAATACATGTAAATCCATGGCTAATTCATTTCATGGTATGANGGAATACATGTAAATCCATGGCTAATTCATTTCAATGTATGACAAAAACTACTGTAATGATGTAAAGTAATTAGCCTCCAACTAATAAAAATAAATGGAAAAAAAATAAAATAAATAAATCTTGAAAAAAAATCAGTTCTCCATATATGTTTGCATCTATTTCTGAATACTTTATTATTTTCCTTCAATCTGTTTGTCTACATTGATTCTAATACCACACTTCCTTGATTACTGTAGGTTTATAGTGAGTCTTCAGAAATCTTGGAGTCTTCATCCTTCAACCTCACTCTTCTTTTCTCAAAGTTGTTTTTCATAGTCCACGACCTCTGTATTTACAAATTAACTTCAGAATTTGCCCATAAATTTCTTTTAAAAAATATTTTCTAGGATTTTTATTGGGATTACACTGAATATATAGACCAATTTGGGAGAAGTACCATCTTAACAATACTACATCTTTTGATCCATAAAGACAGTTGTCTCTCCATTTATTTAAGTTTTCTTTAATTTTTCTGAGAAATGTTTTATAGTGTTCAGTGAACAGATCTTGCACATTTTTGAACAAGTTATTCATAAGTATTTCAGACTTTTTGATGCTATTGTAAAGAACACTACTTTGTAAATAAAATTTCCAGTTATTGTATTTTCACTGAACTGTCTGCAGCCAAATGTCTCATAATAGCCATTGCAGGAACTTTTTGGTTGAAAGAACAGGCTACTCTAGGATATAAAAACTACCTGATGTGTAACATGCTTTTGACTGTGTTTCTTTATCAGCTTTTAGATGTTATTGGCAATGTGCTGAAACTAAGGAAGAAGATGTCAGAGATAATTCTACAGGACATCTCCAGAAAAATCAGCGACTGAAATAAAATAATTATGGCAGCTTTCAATTTTCATGCATGTGGTTAAAACTGAACCAGTCTATTTGTGGGTTTTTTCTTTTTTGTGGCCCAGCAAGTCTTCCTCAGTGAATTCCTGGGTTCTCCAGTAGTGAAACAGACAGGAGAAAGCACATATGTATATGAGCATGTATGTTTGTATGTATATGTATATTGGAGAAGCTAAGAGGAATTTTTATTGGAAGGAAAACTCGAGGTTAATGCTGTGGTCATGTCAGTCCTTTTAACTTCCTGTCACATATTTGGAACAAAATTGGTTGCTGTTTGTTTGCTGGCTTCACTTGGCGAGCATTGTTACCATGGTAACTTAGTGACTGCTGTGGGATTTGATGCAGATTGAACATCATTTTATAATTCTAACCTGAATTATTTATTACTATTATAGTTGTCAAGTGTTGCTTTTCTGATTACCTCATTCCTTTCAGATTTGTTCACTGAAATTTGACTGGAGGTAGAGATTTCTCTTTTCTCTATTTTTTTATTTATATAAGTATGACTCATAGATTATCCTATTTTGCTCAAAGGTCTACCATTTGGTGCTATAATTATTTATTTTGATGCTCAAATTGTCCCAGAATTGGCCAGCAGAGGCCCCTTTAAGTTGGCTTCTGTGTCCATTTGATGCCTCCTTAGAATTCTTTGAACATGTATTTTTCTCTCTGAGCCTGAGTATCTCCTAATCTGTAGAAAGAAAATTATGATTCTCCACCTCAGAGCATCCCTTTGTAGAACTGAGAAGTCTGATTATTACAACCTTCAGCATGTGGCATCTATTAGGCCCTCACCAAATTGCATTTCTCCACTCCAACATTACCTCCTTCATTCTGTTTAGTGTGATGCCTTTGACATTTCCATAATAGCATGACTACTGGAAAGAATACTTGGACATGTAACATAAACAGGGATAAGGGTACATGTCCATGATGTGAGAGCCTCAGTGTCACTGCTGTGTATGGAGGAAAAGCATCACTGCACAGCTTCCAGGGGAATGAGAGGGGTCAGCAGGCAAACACATCCTGAGCTCCTTCCCCTGCATTTCATGTGCTTTCCCTTCTTCTCACTTTCCACTCTATTCCATGCACTGTCTTATCTCCTTATTCTTCCTTAAAGTAGGACATCACAGAAGGATGTGAACACTGAGCCCCAGAAACAAGATGCAGTAGAAAGAACCAGTTGTGATGCTGAGTCTGCTAGACAGGTTCCTGGAGCAAGAGTGAAGAGATTGGATCCCATCATTGGGACACTTTAGGTAAGTCACCAGTCTTCCCTCCATTGTCTTCTATACAACAGGATAACAGTACCCAATGCTTCCGACCACCCAGGAGTATTGTGGAGTTTAGGTATGAACCCATGTGGGAGAGCAATCTGTGATTGTAGGTGGGAGGGAAGGACCAGTGTACTATATTAACAGATACACCCCATATATATTAGAATTTTTCATGGTAGTCATTAAATTATCTTTTTTAAGCCATACAGCACATGGGATCTTAGTTCCTCAACTGGATATTGAACCCACATCCCCTGCATTGGAAGCACCGAGGCTTTACTGCTGGACTGCCATGGAAGTCCCATGTTGGGCATTAAATTAATGCTACACAGATATTAGCTGTTTGGGTCAGGAATTATCCAAATGGGATCCTCAAAACACTTCATTAAACTCACTTGGGGTTACTTATTAAAATTCCAGATTCCTGTACTCCACCCTAGGTCTACTGAATTAAAACTAGGGAGGTAGAATGGGAGGTGCCTACATTTTGAAGAATATTTCCAGTGTTTCTGTATTCATCCAGGTTTAAACAGCTCTGCTGCAGATTTGCAACAAACACTTCTTAAAATTCTGCATCATTTAATGTCTTATGCCCTTGCCAACTTGTCCTGTACCTCAGTCTTAAGTATCTGTCCCTGCTCCTGTATCTCAAATAGGTAACAATTCCTTCATGCAAGTAACATTTATGCAGAGATTTATATGTGAAGCACTGAAATAGGCACTGGGGACACAGCAAAAAGAATAAGACAGGCAAGGTCCCTAGAGTTTTATTCTAGTTTGGGGAAACTGGCAGTAAGCGGGTAAACCAGTAAATGGGATAATTCCATATGGGGATGAGTGCTTTGAAGAAAATAAACACATAAATAGAGTAAAAAATGAGTGGCACGGGGATTATAATGGAGGGGTTTTTAGTGAATCTCTTTCTCAGGAAGTGACATTTGAGTTGAGTCCTGAACAACAAGAGGAAACCAGGCCTGGGCAGGCCTTTGGGTCACTCACCCCGTCGAGTGCGTGGCACTGCTGGTTCCAGGAGCAGAGGACAAGGTCCAGTGGGTGGAGCCTGGCAGACAAGTGCAGATGGTAGGAGATGAGATCAAGGGCAGACAGCAGCCACATGGTGTGGAACATGTAAAGAGTTTGGAGTTCATCCTGAGGGTGAAGGGCTAGAGGGAGGGAGTGACAAGCTGTGATTCTTGTACTCACAAGGTGACTCTGGCTTCTGTGTGGGGAATGGACTGGATGGGTATGGAAGAGCTGAAGGGAATAACCACTAGGAGAATCTTTCAGGGTCCAGGGCAGAGGCGAGGGTGGATTGGCCCTGAGCTGCAGTGGTATGCAGAGGACAGGTGGCCTGGACAGGGTGTGCTGGAGGTAGGGTAGGAGGGACCTGCAGTGGCTGTGTGTTGGGGTGGTGGGATATGTGAGGATAACACAGGATCCTGAATGAGGCCTCGGATTTATGTTTAGTCATGTACGAAAATGGTGATGGTGTTTCCTGAGATCAGTTATTCCAAGTAATTGAAGACATTCTTATGATAATTAGGTATCCACCATTGGTGACAGTGAAAATTAATGATATACAAAATCTCTTTTGATGGATGGAATTCAGTTGTAAGACTATTAAACTTTATTAAATATACACATAAATGATAAAACTATAAAAAGATCAGTATTATATTTGTTTAAATAAGCTTGCATTTATTGAGCTGTTATTGTGTGCCTAGCATTGTTTTAAGGATTTTTAAATATTAATTCAGTTCTCAAAGCAG